TAAAAATAACAACAACAACAACAGATCCCTCGTCATCAGGAAGCGACTGAGGTACCCATCCCGGCTCAGCGCCATTGGTCTCTGGCGAGTCGACCTTTTCTTCTGTCGACATCATTGTGCAGTCAGCTTGGTTTCTGTTCTTTTCTCATCTGCTGCTTTGCGGTCTTGTCTAGCATGTCGGCTCTCGGTTCACGAATCTTTAATCATGTTCTCGACCTAAGGTTTATTGTGTTGTCGGTTTCGGCACCATTGCTTTTGTTAAATGCAGCAAACGAGTCAAGACATTTGGCATTGAGAATACCTGGAAAGAGGCTCACGAATCGGATGTATGGTAGTGTAGAAGCACAGTGAGATGGTCAGGTCTTCTAGGACTTGGAGTTGATGGATATATTGTTGGGTTGGATCCGAAACCGAAGTTTCTCTACGTCTCAAAGTCCCACCTTCCCCCGGGTCTTATGTCAGCATACCCTTTCTGAACGGAAAGAACCAGCCATTTAACCAGCCATTTATGTCAAGAAAAAACCAAGTGTCTCAGTGCTCAAGTGGCTCATGACCTTATCCTTTATTTTCTTCTACTCTTGCTGTGCTCTACTCGGTTTCTGTTCATGACCAACCTTTTGAAGCCATTCCGACAACACCGGCCGGTTTCAGCCGGTCTTGCTCCGGCCTTTACGGTCTGATCACGCGTCCAACTGGATAGCCTTCAAGGTACACTAAATCATCCAAGGAAATAGGTCTGCCCAATATATCCGCCATCCAGGTGAGGCCTTGGGAGACATCTGGTATCTGGAGAACAATTACAGTTTTCTTAATATGCGTTGTCTCTCAACAACCCTTGAATGTTGCAACTCAGGTTTTCCCGCTTCGGTTGCCATACAAGTTTGATCAATCCATGGTCTCCGCTGTGTCGATTCACACCGAGCCGGGATGGTGAAGGGCTGCAGCTTCACCAGCGCAGGTTGGGAGACGCCATCAAACCTTTACGACCAGAGAAGGTGAAGTGCCAAAGGTTGAGGTTCCGTCTTTAGGTTGGCTTGGATGTGCACCATGAATTATTTCAATTACTGCCCTTCCCCTAGATTTAAGAATCCCATCTGCACCACAATTCCGAACCGACTTTTTTTGCTCGATATCCAACGTCGCAAGCCCGATTTTCGATAATATTTTCGAGAATACCGCAGCCACCACACAACACCGGAACATTTTCTCAGTCGTACAGTTGAGTAGGTAATTGGTCTCCTCAATCTCAACCTCATGCTAACTATTACTAGATCTGTGCCACAATTCCGAAGCGACCTTCTTCTTCGATACCCAACTTGGCAAGTCCGATTTTCGAAGTCTTTCAAGAATACCGCAGCGACCGCACCAGTCGAAGTACTTCCTCAGCTCAACAATTGAGCATTTGTTCTATCCCAAGTCAATCTCTTACTACTATCACTGTATGTGGTCACTGCTGATCCCTCTGATGCCACTAAAAGTCGTGCTCCGGTCACGTACTAGTACACCACAGACTGACAATCCCTCAGATCACCAAAATGGGACGACGCGGAGCGGGAACCACCCACAAGAAGTGGGACCCTGCAACGGGCGCAAGCCCCGACAAGGGCGTCAACATGCAGGTGGTGTTCGACAGGGTCAGCCGTCGTACCGGCAGGTACATGAAGTTCACCCGGTTTTCATGAGGAATGTGAGCCGGCCACAGACCGCCCACACATCACAGTGTACTGGCTGGAGAGTTGGTGGAGCAACCCCGTTTACGGCGAAGACTCGGAATACCGGGTCAAAGCCACCGAGGACATATGCAGAGCGGAGGCGGCCCGTCTGGGCTTTAGTGTCGTGGTCATTCGTGCTGGTGTGCACAATAAGCGCAACCAGCACGATGACGCTGGCACCGTCATCACGAGAAATGACCCGCGTACAGGCCGCACCACGCATGACATCGTCGATGCCGATTGGCATGTCACGGTGTTGATGGGCAACGACCCAGATAATTTGATTATCCATGGTCACATTTATTTGGTCTGGGACCACCTTGTGCGCCAGCAACGCGGAGTGTTTGGCTTACGGAAGCTCCCTCATGGTGAGAGCCAGGGCCCCACGGCCTACTGGTCCCTGTGTTATTTCACAGGGCGTTCGTGGGGGGCTACCTTCTTCCATGTGAATTTGGTAGAGTGTCATCAGAGTTGATAAACGCAGTCATTGTACCAACTCCTCGGGCAGCTTATTTCTTCGACGCGGTTTTACCTCCATTCCCCAGCTTCCGACTTCTAACTCTCTTCTCGGCCTCTTCAGTTTGTCTTACCTGGCCATGTTTTGTTTCGATTGCTTCACTCCGGGGCTTTTATAAATCAGTGGCTTTACCTGCTTCAACTATCTTTTAGCAAGCACTTCGCTTTGTTCCTCCCAGCAACGTCGCTTCTTCCTTTTCTCAAGAAATCAGGTTATCGATGCCATCCATTTCCCATTTTCTGTCCACAAGACAGTCTGTTGGACTCACAAGTGACCCCCTAGCTCGGCATTTCAACGCACAGCGTCACCATCTCATTTTTTTATTTGGCATTTCTATCGTTTTGTCTCAATCAGCGGCGTCCATCAGTGTGGAGTACAGGCGTTTCAGGAGTTGAAGGAGTCTTGGGATAGTTTCCACCAGTTCTATCACTTGTTAGCTGATGTAAAAGGCAAAAGCCCATGAGAACTATCAGGGGTAGCCAGTACCTGGTAAGGTCGAGGAAGGGAAGGAGCTAGGGGACGGTGGAATGATACGGTGTCTCTACATACCTACCTCTAAATTTGATGTATTGGACCTGTCTCAGGGCTTTATGTGTTTTCGTTCTGTGATAAGTCCTCCTGTCGCCATTAACCAGTGTTGCTGTTGTGAAACTTACGCGTTGCTCGTTGTCGCGGATATCGGAGTTGGTGGAGCGCCAACAGCACAGGCCCACGGGGCTCCGACCTCCGCACATGTACCCCGGTACCAAGCTTTCGTCCACAAAAAAGATATCACTGTCTGTTCATCGTCCCAACATTCCTGCAGGGCAGTCTAGTTCTTGGCATGCAATGAGATTGACATCTTGGCATGTCTGAAAGGCGAGGGCGAAGAAAGAATCGCGGAGTGTCCAGGTGCAAGGTACCTGCATGAGCCCGGGCCGCCGGCATGGCTCCGTGCTGGACCCAGAGCACCATCTGCCGGCCTCTGTTTTCCGCAGCCACCCTTTGTTTGCCATAATGATGAGCGAGAACGGCGGACACAACCGATATAAAGTCTTATCCAGTCGGTTGATTTACACTACCAAGTCGTGGATCAGCGGCAATACGCAGCAATCGGGTCAACCAACAGTCTGATGCGCAGAGCCTGCAGCCCCCTGACGCATTACCCAGGATGCGCGTTTGTGTGGAGGAGCACACACTGTCAAGGCAAGATTTCCCGTCCTATAAGCGCTCCTTTCTTCTGACTCGGAGACAGGTTGTGAGCCCAGGCAAGCACGATGGCTCCCCAGGTGCTTCAGTTCATCCAGTCTCGATCCAGCGACGGCAAGAGCAAACCCTGCGAAACAAATCTTCCGAAAAGAACAATTGGGCCAGTATTGAGATGGATACTGGCTGCCTTTTACCACTGACCGAGATACATGAACCGATTGGGCCTCATCATGCAATTTTTACGCCTTCGATGTTGACTTGGACGTTCATGGTCTCTGGGGTCAAATGTGATATATTCTTTTATTGTGTATGGCGCCTGAATCTCATCTTGATTGACCGGGACGCAGGGCCCACGTGTGGTGGAATGTTCGAATGAATCTTAAGGAGAGGAATGACTTAATATACATGATTCGTCTGTGTTGCTAGATCTACGAAAGATGTTCGTCCTTTTCAGCACGTTTCCATGGTGTCCACTTGCCGATTCTGGCCCTTAGATTCTCCCTAACCTCGTTTCGTTTCCGAAAGATATAATCGTAATCTGCGCTCATTGATTGAATAGATATAAATTCCCGCGGTTTCAGTCGTGGCATGAGAAGTAGAATTGGCAATCAAGGGCAGTTCCGTCTCGCCCAACACCGCAGCGAATTTCGTTGGCTGAAGATCACCCAGACGGTAAACGTAAACATGGTGAAAGAGATGGTGTACGCCCAGTAGAACACGAAGTGTTTGGGTTGATCCCAGCCGAGTGAGGCAATGGTAAAAGCGCCGCGAAGAACGTTCCCGGTAGGGAGGCCATTGTGAGAACGACGATGGTCTTCATGGCCGAGCCGTCTTCACGAGCGGCGGCCGCAAGGTCGCGGCTTGCCAAGGTCATCTCAAAATTATGCGCTGAGTCCTTGCTGAATAAATAGGCTGATCTCTGTAGAATAAGAGTTTGGTGAGTACGAAGGCGACTATAATAACTCATAATTTGGCATCTAAGCCTTTGATACCTCAACTGCACACTGGTGGAGTTGTGCTGTAGTAGAACCATAGCCGTATAGGTACCTCTAGGTTATTAGTTGGTAGGAACTACTCACTAATGAGACTTCGTTGCATGCGCGTCTCTCGGCCAGTTGCACCCCTTCTCTGAGGCTTTTCATGGCCCTGCGATGGAGTTGGATTGCAGATAATATGTTGTTGGTGCTTTGAAGTGTACTCTCAGATTTTGCTGACGGCGGCAGTGTCGTTGCCATATCTTTCAGGTACTGATACAGGGAATCAATGCTGTCGAGGGTGGTTGAAATTACAAGCAAGGCACGCTCAACGAGGTTCCTCGAGTCATCTTAAAAATTCATCCAGTCCTGGTCGCGACGAGTGCCGGGGTTACCGTATGAACGTTCAGCAGTGGACATGATGAACTCAACTTTGAAGTCGAGAAGGTGACGACAAGTGGTAAATGCATTTACCGATATGACAACGGGCAAGTATAGAGGGGAGTGTACGTCCTCCTTGAAGGCCTCCATGCAATTCACTATCGAGGCTCTCTCAGAAAATGGACTAACACTGATAGGTAGCGGATGGTGGCCATGTTTCACGATGGCAGCACATCTAGCGTCAAAGGTGGGGGATTTTTCATGCTGCCGGATTGAGCACATGAATCGTGTGCTTGGTGTTCTGAAATGGACTGCCGCAATGCCTCCGTCGGCAAGACCGCCTCAATACTCGAAGATAGGGTAGAACCCACGAAGAATGCTGAGAGACAGCGGATCAGATGTGAGGGTATGTAATATATCCTCAAAGGTTGCCTTGGTCATTTCAATATGGCTGCCTAATTCATGGCGGAGGTGGTTGCGGCGCCAGTCGGTGCTGGAGAAAACAATCTTGACGCCCGCACTACTAAAAGCGGGAGCTGGCTGTGAAGGAGATACCGCCTCAATTCCCCGTTCGAGGAAGTCAACAAGGAATGTGTCCTCAATTGCTTCAACATAGAAGCTGTCTGTTGCTCCCAATTCATTCTCCCTTGGCCATACTTGATAAACACGTGTCGCATTGCTGGGATCTTCTGAAAAATACCACGGACGAAGATTCCGGTACTTGGTAACATGAAAACGAAGGCCGTCCATTGTGTTGCAGGTCTAGTGTCAGGCAGTATCCGGGGAAATGAGAGTGGAGGTTAAGGTTGCAAACGGGAAAGACGTGGAAGTTTTTGGGGCCACCAGGAATTCAGTCGGGCTTTGATGTAGAGAGCGTTGATATATAGGTGAGGGGCGGCAGTCATGCCCGCCACTGTGATGGAACACAGTACGCCAAGTGTGCCTGGCCAGCGGTGCCTTCCACGTCGTGTCGCGAACGCAGGTCGAACTTGGGGTTCAGGGAAAGGCATATCATGGATTGATACACTGGACTTCAACGCATGGTTACCTCTACCTAGATGAAGTTAATGACAAGAGGACGAATGCTCGCTACATACAACCTACCTTGATAAGTGTAAAGACAGGCAGTCACCACTCCTTCGGATCCTCAGCAAGGACGATAGAAGGATTGGTGATGGACAACGCAATGGAACGGCCGAGCCAAAGAGTTGGCATGCGCTCTGTTTCCGAGTGTTTGGTTGACAAGGACATTGAGCGGCCGGACATGGAGCAAGGTGAAGCAAGAAAATTACAGCCCTCGAGGGACATTTCGCGTAGATTGTTTCAAGACTGCAGAGGCCCGCGGACCGTCCATGATTCCCAAAACGCATGTCCAATCGATTGGAAGTGAACCCCTACACGAGAAGGAAAGAGGAACATCACGGCATCTAAATCGCCCTTTCTGCAGCGAGTTTACAGGGGCTGCATGCAGAAAACACAGTGCCCATCCAGGTTTCTCCTACAGTCCGCAGTCACAGCGTTGCCTGCCATGAAACTTCCTCGGTCGCAGCGGGACATCACCACCGGTAAACTGGAGCAAAACACCATCACACCATTACAACTCATGATCATCACCATCCTTGTCGTCAACTCCATCTAATCGATAGCGATAAATCGCGCATTATGAGGAAATCCCCAAGACTAGTTCGATGACAATATTTGCACCCACTGTAGTAGAATTCATTGCTCCGTACCTAATGCTGGCTAGTAGGCATTCTTCTGGCTAACGTTACCACCGTCAAAACGACAAAGGGCGACCAGCAACAAGGTATCATGTTCCCACACTAACCTGCTGTGAACTGCCAGGCCCAGACACCTTCATCGCGGCCAAGGAATGCATCTGTAGAACCACTGCAATGTCATTACAATACCAGGGACATCCATCTTAAGACTCCCGGGGATGACAGGCACCATGTAAGCAGAACAATGGCGGAGTCCCACGCAGGACGACGATGGTCATCTGGTTCTGTGTCGCTCGGTTATCACACCCATTCCTATCTCTCGGCCTCCTCCTTCATACCATCTTCTTCCCTTGCTCCTCATCCTCCCCCAAGTCCTCTCCTCGTTTGCCACGCCAAAATCCCCAAGGCCATTTTGAGCACAGAGGTAACATCTTTACCCACTCCTGCACGCCCGATCGTTGCGTCAGAGCAGCCCAGATGGCAAATGTGACGACGGTAGCAGGGATCGTGAAGGCCCAATACATGACGAAGTGTCTGGGTTGATTGAAGCTGCCAAAATAAGGCATCGCAAAGAGCGCCGCGAAGAACATGCCTGGAAGAAAGAGCATGGTCAAAATGGCAATGCTCTTCATGGCTGAACTGTCTCGGTGAGCGGCGGCTGCGAAATCCCGACTGGCGGCGGCTGTTTCAATGTTGGTTTCTGAGTCTCGGTGGGAAAGGTGAGCTGAAATCTGTGGGAAGGGTGTGGGGGGTACGGTTAGCTATGGTGTTCTCTGTGGGCAGGGCTGCTTTCATGACTTGAGGCTGCTGATAACTACCTCTAGAGAAAAGCAGTCTGCAGACGTGTGAAAACGAGGATGTAGGGAAATCTCACCAGCGACGCCTGGTTCCGAATGCGAAGCTCGCCGTCGCGCAAGGCCTGTCTCAAACCCTTAACCTCCTCGCGTAGGAACTGGATGGCTTCCAAGATGTTCTTGGTGCTTTGGACCACCTGCTCGGTTCTAGCCGATGATGGGATATCTTCGGCCATGGCCTCAAGAAACGTCCATAGAGACTTAAGGTTGTCCAATGTGCATGAGACAAAAGCTGCGTGAGTTAGGGCGAGCCCTATCGATTCACTTTGCTTGACAACTCTTTGTCGATCGATTGGCGTACCATTATCCAGGCCATATGTTCGATCGAAGCGGCCATGGGAGGTTGTCAATGCCGCTAAGTGCACACACCGTTGGATGGTGGTGAGGGAGTCCCGGCAATCATGAACTGCGTATACCGATAGAGCAAATGGCAGAAAAAGAGGGGAGTGCGCATCTTCTTTCAAGTCTTCCAAACAATCGAAGAGGTGTTTGACTTCAACTAATTGTGGTGGTCCAGCGTCCTGGGTAGCCCTTAATGCGACGCACCGTGAATCAAACGCAGTGCCTTCTTCGTGCTGGCGGATTGACAACAGGAACCGAATATTGCAAGCCCTGAGTCGCATGGTCACTATACCGCCGTTTGCAATGCTGCCCAAAAACTCGAAGAACTGGTAGTAGCGTACGTGAAACATCCGGTTGAACAGGGGGTCGGGGTTCAGCGTTAGGATAAGTTCCTGGAAGATTGACTCATTCATGAATATATAAGTCTTCGCTTTCGTAGCAACCATGATCAACTTGACCCCAAAATGGGGGGTCCGGTTTTCTCCTTCATCCTCGTTACCAGGTGTGCCGAATGCCCAGCCACCACGTTCAAGGAATTTAGCGAGAAGCAGATCGTCTGCATATTGGGAGCGCCAATGGTTAACTCCTGGCCCAAGTAAGTCCGGTAGGATTTCAATGGTAGTAGCATTGTTGTAGCGCCTGTCAGGTGGGAAGTTGAAGTCCGTTTTTTCTTTGCGTGCTAGAGTCCGGAGTCCGTTCATTTCTAGGTACCGTGGGTGAGGTGCTTGTAGGGAAGATAAAGATGGCGGTAAAAGAGTAATGCAAAACTGGAAGGCGACAAAGAAGGAGGATCGTGAACCCATTCCGGCCTGATATATTTGGACTCAAACAGAAGTCGGTGCCACCGTCAATCCAATGGAGACCGCCTGGCAGTAGTCTCCAGGGCGAGCAAGGCGTCATCGTCGCAGGGCGCCGCCATTCCGGCCTTGAGGCTGCCTAGAGCCTGTCATCCGCTGTCCGATAACCTATTGTTTCGGGCTGTGCCTCTGCCGGACCGCTTGTACCACCCCAAGACGCCAATGGCGAAACCTGAGACCTTGCGCCCATCAGGCTACACGTGCCTGAAGAACATCTCGGTTACCTGTATTTTATCATGGGCAAGCACATATCAATGCTCGACAACTTGAGGCTGTCCATGGGAAGAAGCGGAACAGGGATCTTGGTACTGCATCCAGCCTCAGCTCTACTCCTTTCCTGCTTCTACAAGGCTTTGACTTAAGCCCATGCACCGTTCTTATTCCGTCCACGTGTCAACCTCAATGCAGCCTCCATCGCCAGCCCCACATAGCCCTGCGCTTAGTGACCCATTTTCCCAGAAAAATAATCAGGGCCAGGAGGAATCCAAGACGAAGTATTCAGGCAGACTGTGACAAGGGCAGTATTC